CTGATGCCAGAAAGTGGCTTATCTTGATGGATGGGTTCATTATCACCTTCTAATTACAGGTGGATTTTCAGGTATATTCATTACCTGTGCTAACCGGGGTTGTGTATATGTGTGTGTGTGTGTGTATCCATGGGTTACTGTTACACTGGCTGAGCTGCAGGGGGTCAGCTGGTGTGTATGTATGTGTGTGTGTGTGTGTGTGTGTGTGTGTGTGTGGTGTGTGTGTGTGTGTGGTGTGTGTAAGGGAGGGGGGGGGGGGGGTAGGGGGGTTCAGGGGTTCCTGTTTCAGCTACGCTGTAGACTCTCTGCAATATTCATGAGCTCCGTGGGGATCAATGTGGTGTGCAGCGCTCGGGCCAGCTCTGCCTCTCCAACCGCCTCCTTTACTCCATCAAACAAGTGTTAGTGCATCTGGTTTTCAGCACACTGACAAAACCTGGCTACTGTATGTGCACCATACAGTGGAGATGCTGTATGTGAGACTCTGACTCCACCAGTTACAGCTTCTCCTCACACATGAATATATGATGTAGGTTTTAAAGCTGCACATCAAAATATATAATGAACTTTCCAATCACAAGTCAATATATTCCACCCGTTTCTCTTGAAAGAAAGAAAGAAAGAGGCGAAAGTTTCACTTTTACCAGCATTGTAAAATATATATTCCAGCAATTAAGTGTTACAGTTCCATAAAATTGAGGAATTTGTCGGAGACGGATTAAAAAGGAAAAATTGAAGCAGGAGAGGTGGAGATAGTCTTAACTTTTAAGTGCTTAGTATTGGTCAGGCTCTGATAGTACCGGACCCCTACGATTCCCATAATGCAAATCCACAAATCCATAGCATCGCTTTATTAATTGAGTTGGATCCCCCCCCCCCCCATGAGATAATTAACAAGTTTAGGAAAAGTGGAGGGAAAAAAAAAACATTTAGTCTGCACACATTTTCCTGTTGTCTTTGAACTTGTGACAACTTTTTGTAAAAGTACTATGAAGTGTCACTAACTGCTCCCAGCGCACAAGATATATGCAACATGTCAAAAACCTACTGAGTACTGACGTTTCACAAGCCAAAAAGGTCTGGAACCAGTGATCCAACTCGCTTATTTGGAGGAGAAACCACATTGCTGCAGCTGAAATCATTCATTTTAAATCTCATTAAACAATAACAAGTTAAAAGAGCTGCTTTGCTATTAATACACAGCCGGCGTTAGCATCAACAGCTGTTTACTCACCACTGTTTCCAAGAGAGAGAGTTACACTGCGCCCTCTGAGCAGCGGCGCCGCTTCTTCAGGGCAGACTGGACGCTGCAGTGACTCGGTATCGGACAGTGACGAGACAGTCTGACCAGGTCAGGGCTAGCTGTTGAATTGATTGCCGTGGTGGGTGGTACAGAAATTCATGTTCCCCGTAGGATGAATGGTAATAACTTTGGTGAACTCCTGACTTCTCATCAACATCATCATAGATCATCATCAGGTCAAAACACTTTGGTACCTGAGAGACGAGTGATTTTCCCAGAACCCACTGAGTCCTGGAGAGGAATGTAACAACTAATAAAACAATCACAATAAAAATAACACACAACACTTGTAGAAAAATTCAGTTTTTTGTCATTCTGTCCATTCTGATTCACTCACAGACAAATTTATATTCACTAAAATAATGTAAAATATGCCACCTCCACAAAATCTGCACAAAATACTTTCCCTAAAGAGAAGCCAATAAATAAACTAGCCAAAAAAATAAAAATGTTTGGGAGATACCGTGCATACATGTAGAGACTTGGAATATTCTGCACAAAGTAATTTGAGATTTAGGTTTTTGAAAATGTTCTCTTACTGTTTTGGTGTTTTTCAAATGTTTCCCATGTCAGTGTGAAGGAATGGTTTCTCTGTGGAGAAGATCAGAACAAACATTTTCTCTGGTTGAGGCCACAGGGAACAGTGATGGTGCAGCAGACTGGGAAAAAAAGTTTTTGGAAAAGTATTATTTTCCATTATTATTTTTGTTTTTAAATTATTATTATTATTATTATTATTATTATTATTATTATTATTATTATTATTATTATTATTATTATGTGTCTCTCCTGGAACAGTAAAGTCAAAGAGATGAAGTTGTTTGTTGTTGGGTTTGAACTGTGCAGGTTTCTTCACATACAAATGATAAACAATAAATAAATAAAAAGACTTATGACATTTAACCTGCAGCGCTCCCCATAAGTCATTATGTGAAATCACATAAGAATGCGCTGTTACATGATGTAATGTGCGCTGCATGTAGGACGTTGAATATTTAACACAGCAGCTGGACAGTTAATGACATTATGATATCACTCTCTAATTATTATATTCAATGAAACTCATCTTTGCTGCTAATGGCCGACTGTGGTTGTAATGCATCACGGTTGGAGTCGTGTGTTCCTGCAGCCGACACCTACTTCAGCTCCGAAGAAGAAGAAGAAGAAGAAGAAGTGAGTGATGAGATAGCAGAGCCACTGTATGTGTATGCGATTCCGCCGACTCTCAGTTCATTGGGTTTCTAGTCGTAAATAATGAGTCATTAGCAACTCATGCTGTTGCACATCAGTGTGTAAAGTACCGACATCGCTCTCAGTCAGGAAATCTCCCAACATCTCATTTCTCCTGCGATGGAAGCTCATACGTTCTGCACTTGAGATGTTGCAGCTGAATGTAAAAATACACTGTGTTGAGCCTAAATGTCAAAGCAGTGGTGGCAAAATGTTCGTAACGTCGCAGCATCACGGTTATATAAGAACCCTGGATTATTATTAGTGTCACATCACCGTGTAAGCAGCTAATTTAAGCTGCTTATAGACTGTTGGGTTCTTCAGTCTGTCACAATGACTCACACTAAAGTTTATTAAAAGGTTTTAGCCGCAAGATCTTACAAATCTTTAGATGAGATGTTCCTTTATTTGTCCCACTGTGGGGAAATTAGCAGTTTTACAGCAGCAAAGAAAGAGAAACTGCAAAATAACAAATACTTGAAAATAAATACATAATAGCCTATAATAATAAAATATGTACAGTTAAATATTTAAATATAACAACAAATATCAGCAGATGAGGGATACTGCACAGTCTTTGGTGTGTGTGGACGACTGAGTGCAGTATTTGTTATACAGTCCGACAGCAGCAGGAGGGAAAGAGCTGCGGTAACTCTAACTATAGCTATCATATATAAAGATAAACAGGTTACCATAGTTACCAATGAGTCATGTCCTTGGTCAGTTTGGGACCAGGACTGGACCAGGTTTCTGTCCAAACCCGACCCCAAGTCCAAGAGATTTGTAACCGAGCCCGACCCGAACCTGACAGACACTTTTTTAAAATCTGAACCAGAACATCTTGTGATTCTGTTTTATTTTACTCACCTGAAACTGCAAAAAACCCAAACCAGCTCCACTGGTGTTTAACTCGGTGCCTGTAGAAACTCAAAGACTGACTGTGAACGAGCTCGTTGTGACAACATGTATAGTTACATACCATAATTAAGCCCCACCTCACTCATGCAAGTCAGCAGATACATTAAGATCAATGTGTTTTCATGTGACGGTACAGTCATGAAAATATCTCACACTTACATTATCTTTATATTATAAAATAATAATAATATCAGTAAAGTGTGACATATTTTGGATTCTCGCCTGTGTTCAGGCTTTTCTCTCACAGAACAGGCGTCATGTGTTCGGTGACGTGTGATGAGGCTTCACACATGAAACCTTGTAAATCTTGATCTTGTATTTTATTTATTTAGAAATTTGTGTCATTTTAATAAAAAAAAAAAAAAAAAAAAAAAAAAAAAAAAAAAAAAAAAAAAAAAAAAAAGTCAAAATAAAGTTCCTATAACATTCACAAAATAATGTCTCCTTTCTGTTCTGACCTCACGATTGATGACACTGACCAGAAAATGACAAACCATCAGTCACTGCTGCAGTTTGTCACGATAAACATCATAAAGAAGATGAGAGACACTTTTCTTTCTTTACTTTACTTTCAGTAAAATATTGCTATTTCATAACTACATAAATCTGCACTGTTGGCGTTGTTTGTGGACATTCATCTCCTGCAGGAACAGCCTCATTTTCCTGCCACTGCATAAAGAGCAACACGGTTGGAGCCGCGGTTCTTCAGTAAAATAAAATTTAAAAAATTTAAAAAAAAAAAATGCTGAATTTAAATTTTATTTATTTATTTTCTATCAAACTTACAAAAAAACTAACTAAATAAAAATCTTTATTATTTCCCCCCCCTGCGTTTCTTCTCTCCGCCTTGTTCCGCGCTGGGGAGCTGCAGTGATGTCAGCCCGCCTGGGTCATTTGAAGGTCAGCAGCCTCGGAAGGGTTCATACAAAGTTCACTCGCATATATTAGGCTATTCAATCTTTCTTTCTCTGTGGCAAAACTAGTTGGAAATGAGCTGCACGCGGGGACGGAGGAGCCATCCGTCATCGGAAGAGAAGAAGAACGTGCGCTTTTAAAACGCCGCGCGTGTTATTTTTGATATTTGGGGGTGTGTGTGTGTGTGTGTGTGTGTGGGGTGGGGGGGGGAGCGGATCGTCCGGTTTGAGGCTGGGCTTCACCGCCGCTTCCACTCTGTGTCGCGATTCACTGACAACACGTCGGGATGTTGTTATTATTGTTTTCACGGAAGAGACGCGTTGAGACGTCGGCGGCCGCGCGCTGACCGAGCGGACACGGTGCGAGGGGGAAGAAATGGGCAAATGAGCGTTTTCAGAGGAAGCCGCGGAACACAAGAATTCATGATTCCGGTGCCGGACGAATGAGAAGAAGAGGAGCGAAACCTGCCGCTCCAAGAAAAAGGAGGAGGAGAGGAAGAGGAGGAGGAGGAGGAGGAGGAGGAGGAGGTGGAGGGTGGAAATAGCGGAGTTTGATGGAGTTGTGTGCGCTTATGCCGGTGATTTTTTTTTTTCGTCCTTAGCGCACAAGACTAGTTGAACGACGCGCCGTCAACATGTTTGACTGCATGGACGTGCTGGCCGTGAGTCCCGGGCAGATGTTGGATTTCTACACGCCCAGCCCGTCCTCCTGCATGCTGCAGGAAAAGGCTCTGAAAGCCTGCATCAGCGGACTGGCGCACAGAGAGTGGCAGCACCGCCGGAGCGCACACTGTAGGTCTCCAATATTCTCCTCATCTGTTGTTGTTGTTGTTGTTGTTGCTGCTGCTGCTGCTGCTGTTCCTCTGTCAGACCTCTTAATGCTGATGGGTCAGTGCGACTCCAGCGTCCACATGACTCACAACACGTTGCTGCACAGGGCTGATTATTATTATTATTATTATTATTATTATTCTCATGAAAACCATCCAGGGAATTTAAAAGTTTTAGGGGAACTCTTGGAAACAGGCCGCATGAGAGCACCACAGGCTGAGCATACAAATATTAGGAGGAATAATTAGTCCGGGATGTTTGATGGAGCAGCTGAGTGATGGGATGATGTGTACACTTAAAAAAAAAAGGAAAAAAAAGTTTGTTGTTTAACGTGAGATTGAGCAGAAAAGTCTCCACAAGCTCCACGAGTCCTCCGCGGTGGAACCTGCAGCCCGTGTGCGTGTCTCGGGTCGGTTCACGTTCGCGCAGAGGCTGGAGGAATGCGGAGAGTTAAACACAGGCGGCGGTCTCCGCATCTCCTCCCCGGCCGCACATGACAGGAGGAGCGGCGCAGGGCGAGCCGCGACCCGCAGCTCCCTGACACTGATTTAGATAAATGACCCCGCGGACTTGTCAACAACATTAGCGGGGGTGCTATCGGATCATGTCAAAATCTTGTGTTTTGTATTGGCCGATGGTGATGGATGGTGTGGCTACTGTTAGTGTTCTGTCCAGGTGAATAAAGAGGAAGCTTGAAGGCAGCTGCATTCTCTCTCTCTCTCTCTCTCTCTCTCTCTCTCTCTTTGCAATATCAGAGCTGAGTCAGTGGCAGATCAAGAATTCAGGAGAGAGAAATGTTAAATTTAAAGTTACACTGAAGTTTCACTCTGACTGAAATATAATGCTCAGCTTCACCTGAGGGGAAAATGATCATTATTATAACGAGAGGAAAAGGTTAAACCTGGAGGCCGACTGTAATCTTACTGAAAATATGACTCTGAGTGAAGCTGTCACCTCGGTGTGAACGAGCCCACACTCCATCTGTGAGTGTGTGTTTATTGTGGATGGTTTTCACCCACTGACCATGTGCTCATCAGACACTTGTCAGTGCTTGTTTTTCTCTGTCACCCTGCTGCTCTGTGATTTATCCTCCGCTGATAATGAGGAGCCTCCAGCTGTCATTCCTCAGGAAGTGTTTGCTCAAGGGCGCTCAGTCAAAAGTGGCTCTTATCATTGGAGGGTAAAAATGCAAGTTACAGCTGCCACCTTTTAACTTTGAGCTTCCTCGCCGCTCGCTCTGCTGCGGTGGCTCCTCTGTGAGCGGTGACAGAAAACTGCAGCTTACAGATGAATTTACTGATTATTATTTTTTTGGCCTTCTCACTAAAATGTTAGAAAAAAATTGTGGAAATCACAAGTTCCCCCGAGCGCGAGGTGGCATCTGTAAATGGACTGACAGCATCAGCCTGAAACCGATAATCACTTTACTTTTGTAAATGTCAAAGAAAAGCAGAAAATCTTTTAAGGAGCTCGAACCAGCAGCTCAAACAATGAAAACTGTTGTGAATGAATTTTGTGGCGATCTGCTCATCAGTTAATCGTCTAACTGACCTTTAAAAGAGAAATGACAAAGAGTTTCATCTACGTCACGTCTACACGCAGAGTTCACTAAATGTATATAAAAACATGTTTTTAAAAAATGTGAAAATGTTTAAAATAATTTGTTTTTCAGACTAAGGGAGATGAGATTTCACCAGCAGCAGAAATATTCACTTTCATTTTACCATCAGTAATGATTCCACATTAGCGTTCCTGCGCAGGGCGGTCGACAGGATTGAATTAATACTGAGCTCAAGTTTTATCAGTTCGCTCCTACACATGAACATTTGGACCAGATAGTGAAAAAAGTTTCCAAATTATCTATAATTTTGAATTCCTTAAATGAAGGTTTGGTTGTTGTAGCAACTGAAACCATCGTAGTTTTTTAGGATGATTTTTTTCCTGGTTTCTCTTTTTTTATTAATTGTAGAAAATGTAGAAACGTCACTTAAACAAATATGATTCATCTCAGGAAAACACTCAATATAAATTCAGTTTTCAACAACCACATAACATGTAGTTATTAATCATATTTACCAAACAGGAAACGTGTAAAATGAATGAATGTAAAAGTCACGTCAGGCTGGAGGTGTAAATCACTCCAGCGGGTGTCTGTTCCTTTAAAAAGCAGCCGTTCTAAGACGGGGCTTGTAGCCAGGATTTAACAATACTGAGGTCAAGTCCAAGTACAGCCCCCCCCCCCCTCCCTCTTACTCCCCTCAGAAAATTATAACCAGACACGAGATGAAGGTCACCATTTCTTTTTCCTTTTCTTCCTTTCTCTGTGTTTACATGAAGGTCAAAATGCTGCCGTCTCCACGGTGAGGAGACGAACTCCGGTGAATCCTTCACGTATTTACTGAACTAAAAATAGACAAAGTTCGTCATGTGACTCTAAAGATACTGAAATCACCCAATAACAAAACCTTTAAACCTTTTTCATTGGAGGTAAAATGAGTGACTACATGACCTTCTGGAGGCCGTGCACCTTCTGCTGTTGTCACAGTGAAGACACAGCGGAGCCTGTTTGATTAAATTCACCTTCATTAGCTCATTTCATTTGTCATAGAATTCAATTAGATGACTAAATGAAGCCTGTGCGTTCTCTCCTGGCATTTGAAGTGATAGTTTGGGTTATTCGAGGTGGGGTTGTCGTGTTATCTGTAGTCCGGTCGCGGACAGAGTGATGCCACCTCATGGAAGCAGCAGATGCACAGATGGCGGCGTGATGCGCGGCTGTGGACGGGGACAGCAGGAAGAAAAATGACCACCTAAAGAACCAGCTTCAGTTTAAGTGTACGCTATATTTTGAATATTTTTGCCGCTTCATCTCACCGTCAAACAGCTCTTTACTAGTCAAATATCTGATCCGCGCTGTAATACAGTGCGCGGCGTAAGTGTGCGGAAGGTCAGCGGGTTAAGAAAAAGTAGTTCCAAAGCAAAGAGCTATTTTAACGGAAGATGAAGCGATGGAAATATTCAGAAATAAAGTGTACACTTAAAATATTATTGTTTAATTTGTGTATTTTTTTTTGTTGCTGTCCCCGTCCACAGCAGCACATCGCTCAGCGTCTGTGCCGCCGCCGCCTCAAATCTAGTGCAGGTCAATACACCAACAACCTACGAACTATTGCTTCAACGTAACATTTAGTTTACGTTGTTAAATGGAAGAAATGGCGCACTGAGGTGCGTTTGATTTGCCATGCAATTAGACAATCGGTGCCCTTTAACACGTACGCCGGACCTGGCCTTTCAGGAAGCACTGAGCGGGACAGAAGAAGATGCTGGTGATTTTCTTTTTCTTACGACCGACTGGTCTTCAGCCTGTGAAGCTGCGCCTTGGCCTTTAGTGCTGTCAGACAGGACACCCCTGCCCTTTTCCTGTTTGAATAAGACACTGTTTAAATTAGACTTTGATTGGAGAAAGCCTCTCCCAGGGTCATCGAAATGTTGGTTTATTAATTTATTTATTCAGGATAGTGGAAACCTCCTGGGTGTTAATTAGCCGCATTGACAAAGAGCCGACCATTAATGCACTTCCTCTTCCAGTTTAGATGTTAATTAAGAATGATCAAGGACCTCCTTCCAGCTGATAAAGTGGGCTTTGTGGTCGAGGAATCGCCGCGTACGATACCAACGCTGCAGAAATAAGAATTCATTTCAGTCAAAGTCGTTTTATCAAAAACAAATCCAGAAACTATCAGACAGGAGTTGGAGAGGTGATCCTCTACAAACAACTGCTGCTATTGTGACTTAAAAAGACAGTGTGATGTTCCAGCCTGATATGTATTGTACAGGCGATGGTATGGGATAATTGGGGCCTTTTTGTCTTCAAGGCTTAAGCTCCTCTGATGTGGACATGAAAGGCCATTAGCACAGCTTGAACACCAAGCTAATTTAGTGGGCATGTTAAATGAAAGGTGGATGGGGGGAAATAAAAAGCCGTGTACAAGAGTGAAATGAAAGCAGAGCTGGCTGATGCCAGGCGTGTTTAATTGTCATGATTAGGGCAGCGTTCAGCTCCCACCAGGGTTAAACTGACACCGTGTTTCGGCAGCGACGCTGGCCTTTTAATAAATATCAAAATGTCACATATAGCTCCTTAAAGTGCCACAGGCTCCTGCTCCACCGGACCAGACACATGTTCATGTTTTATTTCTCCAGGAGCGATTCATTTTTTCTTATGTCACCGGCGGAGCCTTTAAAAAACCCCTAAATAATTTTTTTAATCTGGTTCCAGAGAATTTTCCTGCCACATGACAATTTAATTGCCTCTTAAAAACAAAACAGAACATTTTTTTTTATGTGTGAGCGCACGGCGAGTTCAGGTGTATAGCACCTTTCAACAACAACGCACAACAAGATGTAAAAAAAAAACAAAAATATAAAAAAAAGCAAAAGGCCGTTAAAGAATGCGAATAAACAGCATTTCAAAATAAAATAAATAAAATACAAGATGAAAAAAACCTGTTATGGAATAAAACAGAATAAACAAAAAGATTTGAAGAAATATCACTAGATTTAATTTAATAAGTAACACTAGAAGACAGAAATGTAATGGTTTAATAGAATAAGGCATATATTGTGAGCAGATTTAAGGATATTTTATGTATTTATTAATGCACAATATTTGATAACAATTGTATGATTCAATTTTAGCGTATTACTTTATTGTCAATAATTATTTGTTTATACAGCTGTAACAGGAGGAGTTATAGCGTTAACAAATTCATTATTAGTGTGTTATAAACAATTAAACAAATGTTTATATAATTTTTTCTAATGTTAAATAGAGGAACTTAAAGTAAAGTGTCATGTGATTTAAACAGGAACATTTTAATTCTTGATTTAAAAGACTTCCAGCAGCAGACATGACCCGGACCAGCAGGGAGGTCCGAGCGGGTCGCAAACGCAGCAGCAGA